TGTTAATTTTCTGAGGAAGAATTTTGAAAAATGTCATATTAAGTGGAAAAAAATAGTTTTTTAATAGGCTTATATGGTTTTGATCATGGCTGTCTCATTGTCTGACATACATTTGAATAGTTTGGCTGGAATGTGGTTCAATTAAAGAAAAATAAAAGATAAGATCAATGTCAGGTACCACGCTAACCATTTCCTTCTGTATTCAAACCCTGTGGCAGTGTGTACGACCACAGAGGCTGAAGAACACTTCATGTCTGACGAAGGTCTAAATTAAAACGAAAGTAAAAAATAAACGCTTGTATCGATTTTTAAAGGAACAGCGGCCATCTTGGATTTGAAGGTAAGAGTTGGTGAGGAACTTGGAATGGAATTTTGTGATCTAGTGGAAACTGCTGAATATTTATATTTCATTTGAGGCCCTTTGGACGGATATTATTGATTCCCTGAATTTCCTTTTCTGAAAATGTTTTCTGACAGAAACATCATTTAAGGTCTGATTCTGGAAAACTTCCTCATAAACACTATCATCATTCTAGTGAACTTCTTCAGCCACAAAGTTCAATACCTTAAAGTCCAAACTTAGTTTTCTGTGTTTCTGTGTTTTACTTGAAGGCCCTTAAACGATACAGAACAAAACGTTCCATAAACTCTTCTCTTTAAACGACTTACAGTCTAATCCTTATTTATTTAATGTTTTTTCATGTTGTACTTACAGTATACTTACTGTGCCATTTCTTTGCACGCTAACCTTATACTACTATACTTTGCCTTTAGGTTTGTAAATTAATACTTTAACTAATAAAAAAATAAAACAATTCTGGGATTTTTTCATCTTTGAACCTGGAAGTGAATTCACCCAGAGTTCAAACCAATCAAAGAGGGAATTAGAATGACTATGTATATATATATATATATATATATATATATATATATATATATATATATATAATATATATATATATATATATATATATATATATATATATATATATATATATATATATATATATATATATATAATAAGCTTGCATTAACCATATTAATGCCTTCTGTTTCTCTATAAAATGTTCTTGCTCTTCCTTCCATCTACATTTCTGCCTTTTTCTTTATCAGAATAAAACTCCATATATTTGCAAACTATGGAAAATAGGGAAATATTTAATGGAAAATATTTTTTTCTGTGTGTATGTTATCAACCCACTGCATGCGTCATGCGATATTTCCCTAAATATTTAACCACAGATTGATTTTCCAAACCAAACATACGACCAATCAATAGATATGCGACACCTTCCCAGCTCAGCGCTGTGATGTTGACGGTTCATGATGCTGTGGTTTTAAAACCAACATTCTTATTACCCTGCAGACTCATTTGCACCTCCTGTCCTGATCAATCAGGGATCCTCTCTGTAATCTCCTCAGATTAAGTTGGCAGAGCACATCTGAGCAATCTGTTCCTTAATTCCTTACATTTAACAGGTTTTACTTGCATAAGGGAGATCGTGCCTCAATCTGACCCTAAAGACATTTATTCAGGGTAGTGTGGGAGCGGATTAACCTGACAACAGCCAGATGCAGCTGTTGACATCTGGTTGTTGTCAGGTTAGGAGCGGATAGGAGTAAGAGGAAAAGGGGAGGAGGTGTTTGCCGTCTAACAATGCTCGGGTCCTATGGGGGGGTGGTCACAGGTCAAGGTGATGAGGTAACAAATTATTAATGTTAACAAGTATAGGAGAGGAGAGGTCTGGTTCAAAGTAGAAACAAGTGTTTAATTGTTGAAAGTATTTCATAAGGAACAATCAAATCCAATGGAGGCAGAGGCGTATCTAGAACATTTTATAAGGGTGCCAATAACCAATGTTCACTGAGGGGGGGCTGAAAACGGATAGGCACCAGAACCTCAGGGTCAATCTACACAGTTCCAACAGGCAAATGAACGAGCTAAACATCCATATTTTCTAAATAAAGACAAACTATACTTTCCTACAGCCTTTGCTAACAAATAGATATATTTAAACATCTGTAACTTCTAGATAAAAGGTAAAGTGGAGAAAATTCTTTCAGGTTCTGGAGCGAACATCTTTTCCATTGTCATTACTTACCTACTTTTATCAGTAATCATCCTGCATAAAATTGATATTTGCAACTACTAATATCTACATAAATTTATTATTACGTTTTTATTAAAATAGTTATTTATCCATGATTTCACTAAAGACTCCTAGATGAATGTAGAGACACATAATTTTCTCTTTACCCCATAAAACACAAAATCTAGTTCTGAAAAGAGCAGGAATTCTGTACTTATCTTTAATTTTAGTTTTAGTATTGATGTGTTTAATCAACCAGTCTTTTTGTTATCAAGTAATTCTGAATATCTGAAAAAAATAGAAAGTAATATATGAAAAATTGTAATGTTTTGAATATTCCACTTGATTATTAGGGGGAAACAATGGTAGGGGTGGCCACAGATTTGCTAAGGGTGGCCAAGGCCCCCCCGGCCCCCCATCTAGCTCCGGCCCTGGATGGAGCAGCTGTGGGATCAGTTTTCTTGGTTTGAAACAGAAACATCTGAACTTTCAAAACTGTTTCCTAAAGAGACAGTTTAATAAAAAATTTTATGATCTCTACAATCATGCCTGAACTAGATTTGCTATTTTCACAACTTTTGTGAGACATTTTTTTTTTTATAAAGTAGGGCATTAATTCTTAAAAAAAAGTGTATTGAATTCTATAAATCAAAGTTTTCTGCCTGACAGCAATGATGGACCGCATGGCAGCATTTTATACCCAGGACACGCTGCTGAGCTGCAGCCTTTTTGATTCTTCGGTCCTTTTTGGTTTTTGCTCTGCTTTTTATTTAATACATTTCTTTTTTTAAAGAACCTCTGGCTGAATTCTTGGTCTGCTGCCGTGATTCATAACAAAATTTTTACATTTCTTTGTACAAGACGTGATTATTCTTTGAAGGAAGTATTGTTTTGTCTGGGTGCCATAGATTTTTGTATTTTCTTTTGTTAATTAATATTTTTCAGTTGAATGGACTTGAATGGGGAAAATGTGGATCAGAGCCATGAGAAAGAATACAACTGATTCTTTTTTTTGTTTTTCTTATTCTACTATTGGAAAGCAGTGATGGGTTGGATCATAGAGCAGCACAGTAATGCATTTTTGGTTTATAATGCATGCACTTTCATTTATGTATTTATCTTAATAGTTTTAATGATATAATAAAAGTTTATTAATAACATTTATATTAATATTTTTTTTTTAAAACAATGTCTTAGGTCTTGGTTCAATAGGCTATGTTCAGTTCAATATGTTTTAATAAATATTTAACCAGTCCGGCCCTCAGCTTGAAGCCAATTAGTTTTTTGGCCCTCAGTGTTTTTGACTTTAACATCTCTGATTTGCAGTCTGTACACTCCAGTTAACGATTAATAGATTACTAAATTAGTTGAAGATTATTTCAATAATCTATTAATAAAACCAACACATGATATATATATACACTATATTGCCAAAAGTATTTGCTCACCTGCCTTGACTCACATATGAGCTTAAGTGACATCCCGTTCCTAATCCATAGGGTTCAATATGACGTCGGTCCACCCTTTGCAGCTAGAACAGCTTCAACTCTTCTGGGAAGGCTGTCCACAAGGTTTAGGAGTGTGTTTATGGGAATTTTTGACCATTCTTCCAGAAGCGCATTTGTGAGGTCGCACACTGATGTTGGACGAGAAGGCCTGGCTCTCAGTCTCCGCTCTAATTCATCCCAAAGGTGTTCTATCGGGTTGAGGTCAGGACTCTGTGCAGGCCAGTCAAGTTCATCCACACCAGACTCTGTCATCCATGTCTTTATGGACCTTGCTTTGTGCACTGGTGCACAGTCATGTTGGAAGAGGAAGGGGCCAGCTCCAAACTGTTCCCACAAAGTTGGGAGCATGGAATTGTCCAAAATGTCTTGGTATGCTGAAGCATTCAGAGTTCCTTTCACTGGAACTAAGGGGCCAAGCCCAGCTCCTGAAAAACAACCCCACACCATAATCCCCCCTCCACCAAACTTTACACTTGGCACAATGCAGTCAGACAAGTACCGTTCTCCTGGCAACCGCCAAACCCAGACCCGTCCATCAGATTGCCAGATGGAGAAGCGCGATTCGTCACTCCAGAGAACGCGTCTCCACTGCTCTAGAGTCCAGTGGCGGCGTGCTTTACACCACCGCATCCGACGCTTTGCATTGCACTTGGTGATGTATGGCTTGGATGCAGCTGCTCGACCATGGAAACCCATTCCATGAAGCTCTCTGCGCACTGTTCTTGAGCTACATGAAGTTTGGAGGTCTGTAGTGATTGACTCTGCAGAAAGTTGGCGACCTCTTCGCACTATGCGCGTCAGCATCCGCTGACCCCGCTCTGTCAGTTTACGTGGCCTACCACTTCGTGGCTGAGTTGCTGTCGTTCCCAAACACTTCCATTTTCTTATAATACAGCTGACAGTTGACTGTGGAATATTTAGGAGCGAGGAAATTTCACGACTGGATTTGTTGCACAGGTGGCATCCTATCACAGTTCCACGCTGGAATTCACTGAGCTCCTGAGAGCGACCCATTCTTTCACAAATGTTTGTAAAAACAGTCTGCATGCCTAGGTGCTTGAATTTATACACCTGTGGCCATGGAAGTGATTGGAACACCTGATTCCAATAATTTGGATGGGTGAGCAAATACTTTTGGCAATATAGTGTATATATATATATATATATATATATATATATATATATATATATAATATATATATATATATATATATATATATATTTATATTAATTACAATATAAGTAGAACGAGGGGGTTATTTTTATTAATATACATTTTTCTAGCTATGCTTTGTGCTTTAAATCGACGGTGGCTCCGCCCACTCAAGAATTGTCCAATCAGCAGCTCTGACACACAGCTTCCTGTGAGTGACGGACCAATCGCAGCTCTGCTTTCAGCGGGGGTCGGTCCTGTGCCTGTAGCCGTGGAGCTGCTCTCTAACCCGCTTCCACTCCGACACCAGAGAGACGAACCGTCCGCCTCACGCTGACCGCGGCCGCTGGGAATGACCGGGGAATGAGCCAGAAAGGCGGCGGGGCTTCCTAGACGCGGACGCTGGATTCCTGGGAGGTTTTCTCGCTGGCTAACCTGTCTGTCCTCCGCAGCGGTAGGTGGCTTTCTGTCGGTGCCTTGCGGACCCCCGCTGCCTCCATTAGAGTCCCGCTGTGATCGGAGGGTTTGATCCGCCATCAGATGTTCTCCAGTGTTCTCCTTCCCGCCCAGCCTGCTGCTGCTGAACCCGGCTTATATAATGGCTGGGAGGGGGGGTGGGGGTTCTGTCTGATTATCATGACAGGATGTGTTAAAATGATCGGCGCCTTTTAACACATTTTATTCATTAATTAGACCGCAGTGAAACATTTAACCCCAACTATTTAATCACTTTATCTGCTATAAAAACATGAAGGAGGCCGATCATATTTTAATATAATTCACTAACTGATCGGAAGGTCAATGATGTTTTCATTTATCTTTGTACGATTTAATTTATTTACTGATACACTGTGCTTTCAGGGGCGGATTTAGGAAATTTGGGGCCCTAGGCAAAGACAGGCAGGGGACCCTCTGAATTTAAATTGTGGGGAAATCATATTTAAATGTCAAATCATTCTAGCTTAAACATGTATAGAAATGAACTCTTTATCAGATGATATTGTCCGAAAATTTAGAACATTTCTCTAAAAAGAAAAAAAAAATCCTGTCTTAAAATCTGTCTTTCGTTATCTTATGCAGGCCAGTTTTTAAATTTTTTCGGTCATAGCATCTTGATTCATATGTCGCAGCTAATATACGCAACAGTTAAAACCAGAATCCTTTCCTTTCCCATTGAGTTGCGTCCCAGTGTTCACGGGGATGGACGTCTGTGTCTTCGGCAGGCGTAGAGCTAACAGAACTGGCAGCGTTGCGAGGCAAGGGCTCAAACATGTACGGCTGGAAGCCTTCTACACCAAACCAAGCTTCTGCCGCCCTGGCGTCCTCTTCCACAACATCTTCGTCCCGCTTTCCTCCTCTAAATAAAAAATGGATGACGGAGGAGACTCATCCACGACCTCCGACACTAAACTCTCCTCCTCTTGCGTGTTTCCACTGTCCATAGCGTTCCTTGACAGCGTCGTTTCTAAGTCACCAATTTAGTGCTACTTGGTCCCAATGGAATTTCCCATTGGGAACCTGCTAGCACTAAGTTGCTAACTGGTTAGCAAGATGCTTCCAACAAACCCGCCACGACCAAAATGTTTGTGAACCTTCAGCCATAACAATCCCGCCCCCCTAATAAACGACCAATCACATTCCCTTTATTCACTCGTGTAAAGTCGGGCACCAATCGGGAGAATTCGGAAATGCGACGGTTGGAATGGCCGCTTCCCTACGACTTTAAGAAGACAACACATAAACAGCCCCATTCTCCAGATAGAGAAATGTTACTAGAATAGACATCCATTATCTGTTCTAGGTTGTGTCCCTCTCTTCTCGTCCCTTTTCTTCTTGTTTTCCTCTCTATGTTTTGTACTCAGCTGACTTTTCATGCTGTCTCTAAAGGAATTAAAGATTTTCTCCAAGCACTAAGCTCACTTAGCTGATTGCTCCTTCCTGTGTTTCCAAAAAGGCCAAAGTAAATAACCCAGTCCTTCTTTTCACTGTAGACAAGCCATGATCTGCTTATCTGTTCTCCATTTTTCATTTGGATGAAATAATAGCTGCATGAATCATGACAGCAGACAAGATAGAGGAGAGCAGGAGGCGGGGTTACCAATCTACTCGCTCTGGAGAGCAGGATTCGCTGCTTTTAGATGTTGTCTCCAAAGTCTCCAGTAGCAGAAAAAAGTCTCTAGATTTGGCGCTAGGAGCTTTTTAGAAATCAAAGTGCTAGAGGGGTCTGAAAAGTGGCTAAATATAGCGACTAAAGCGCTAAGTTGGCAACACTGCTCTTTGCATGGTTTGTTTTCAAATGGTTTGCTGCTGTCTGTTTGGACCTTTCTGAACATGTGCAGCAAATGGACTGATCCAATATGGTGGACACTGAAGGGGGGGGTGGGGGCTGAGACACACAGTTTTATGGGACCCCCAGGAACTTGGGGCCCTAGGCATCTGCATAGTATTGCCTAATGGTAAATCCCCCCCTGTGGGTAATAATAGTAAACAGCAGGACTCTAGAATCCGTCAGTTGTGGTTATGATGAGTCCATCTGAGGAATGTAGGTGGTCTGGATTCTAGATGGAAGGAGAGGGTTTTCTCTCCATCGCTCAGGAGCCTCATCGGATTGTTTTGGCTTTTCTTTCCTTCCTTGTCTGAAAAAGCAGCCGCAGCTTTTAGTTTCAGTGAAGCAGATGTTTGCTTTGCCTGTTTTCATCGTCACTGCAGGGAGGTCTTGCTTTCTAGGAACCACTGTTCAGTCAGACCAGCATACCCATAGTCAATACCTGTTTATCCCTTTAGTTTATTCCCTTAGTTTCTATGAAAAATCCACTTTAAAGTACCTCAGCGGGCATGTATCCCTTTATTCATATACAAAAAAATTATTTAATTACTTACATTTTGGTCTTTTTTATGTGTATGGTGATCTGACCTCAAATTGATTTCTTTTCGTACAAAACTAAAGGGATAAACGCAAATCTGACGTCTTGTGCATGCATATTAGGGCTGGGCGATATAGAAAAAAAGCTTATCGATAAAAAAAAAATGCATATTGATCGATATCGATAATTATTGAAAAGATTTGAAACCATATTTTATGTGCAGCTCTGCCTGGACTTTTTATAATATTGCTAAATGATTTAATTATAATAAAAAACACAAACACAGACTTCGAATTAAATCTTTATTTAACCAACTTTTTTAACCATAACAGAATTGTTTTAAAGAAAAATAACTTAAGAGACCTGAGTTATGTTATTAAATACTGACAAAGAATAAACTAAAGTGACCAGAAAAGTGACCAAAATAAATATAACAAATAAATAAATGTCCCCCCCACCGCCGCCGCCGCCCCCGTTTCCTGCTTTAACCTGAGTTATTACTTTGAAGTTTCTGGCCCCTCAGCATTTTTATCTCAATTGTTAGAACTACGTGGGAAACTGCCCAGAACTGAAAATATATATATATATTTTCCGAAGATTCCTCAGAGGAGAGCCGCGCCGGGGCCTACACAGCTCGTACTCCCGCGGCTGTGAGCGGCTGAGATGATAAAAAAAAGTTGGTTTCGTTATCAGACTGGTTTTCACTGGTTCCCGACACATTTTCCAGATGACTGTGGTTTGTTTTTGGTCCGACTTGCCATAACCGAAATACTGCCAAACTGGCGAACTACAAAACCCTTCTTTGAAACAATTTCCTCCGCCTCTCCTTGCTGCATCTTCATGTGCTCTGTGTTGTGGTTTGAGAGGGCGGCGCTTGGTGACGTCGTGCCTGGGTCCGCGATTGTGATTGGTTGGGAGGAAGCAGTGACTAGCATAAACCTACATGCTAGGCTACAATGAGAAGAAAGGAAAACTGCGTTTCTTTTTTATCGAACTTTTATCGACCCTCTTTTTTTCTATTGCGCCACACGTCTATCGATCGATATATATCGTTATTGAATTATCGCCCAGCCCTAATGCATATTGACCATAGGTATGCTGGTCTGACTGGGTATGCTGGTCTGACTGGGTATGCTGGTCTGACAGAACATCGGCCCTCCTTCATTAGACCACCCAGACCACCCCTGCTGATGCGTCACCTGATGTCCTGCTGCGCTTCTTCCTGCACAGACTGCAGGGTGATTGTGGGCTGTGGTCGATGAGGGTAGATGCAGCTGTTAGCATGTGAAGGTTCCATGTTGCTACTTTTCATCTCAGTTTCCTTTTTAAGGTGTTTTCTTTAGTAGAGCAGTGGAATAATAAGACTGTATTGCAGCTGTGGAGCTACAGAGGCACAAAGAAATAAGTGGTTGTGGACCAGAGCAGGGCAGCTTTATGAAGCCTGGGTGGTTTTAGCTGATAACCAGCAATCAGTGAACACCCAGCTAACTCTGGGTGATGGAAAGTAACGGTACCTGGAATTCCACCAACCCGTCACGGCACAGGCAGACGGATGCAGCGCGATGATGAATCGATGTGCCGCAGGCGTCATCAGAGAGGAGAGTGGCTGGTTTCCTACTGTGTTGAGAGCATCAGCTGAACGTCAACATCTGAAGATGTTCCCTGAAGGGATCATGATTCATGATTGAAGAGGGAGGATTTGCCATCAAACTTTTGGAAGAAGAATGTTTTCAAGATGACTTGGATAATAGCGCGTTGTGACAAACACCAGATACAGCACTGGGACTTGATCAACAGCCGATACCGCACCGTGACGTCACTAACCAGTAGGTGGCAGTAGTGTTCTTTGACAAACATGGATGCCTCCAGTAAAGCACATTCACATGAAAATGACTCTGAATTACTGAACAGGATGGAATAATTTCAGATTTAAAGAACTTTCAGACGTTTGAATTCTGAAAATGAGCGACTTTTCCTTCAAAATAAGATTGGATAATCGGACTTGAAATAATCCAATGTATTGTTTTTCTTATTAAATATCAATTGTCTTCTACCATTTCAAAGTGCCTCACTTCAATCCTCAAATCAAGAACAAACGCACTGATTTTAAGGAAAAATAACTTATTTAGGTGTTATTTTATTCCGGATTGAGCAGGTCTGTGTCCGTCTGCAGCAGCAGTCAGGCAGCTGCTCGGTTTTTATTGTCCGAGTAGAAAATGGGACCTAGAAGGGAGTTTCCTCCACGGTTGGACTGACTCATCTCTTTAACTCTTATTTTGTTGATATTTCTCTCAGTCAGACTGCATTCCTCCTGCTGACGGTTCCTCCTCAGCTTTAGTGAACCCAGTTTAAAAAGGTGACTTTTCTCCTCACTAAGTCGTGATCTTTTACGTCTGACGTATTATTTTATAAATCAGTTATGCAGCTTTAGGCTAACATGCCAAAAAACCCTGAACTAAATCAGATTAATTCACCTTTGATAATATAACAGTGGAGGCTACAGATTTCAAGACATGAAAGATTTATAATATAAAACAGATCAAACAATTTACTTATTAAGGGATGTTATCGTTCTTCTGCAAATGGAAAA